ATATCAAGAAAGAAGTCACAGTGGTTGTTCTCCCAACTAGTGGTCTTGAAATTCTTCTTCAACATCATCGTCTTCAGTTGTGTTTGTTTGTAGCTTGTTGGGTCACATAATAATTCTCTTCTTTTATGGGTACTAGTACTGTATAAATTGGAGGTGTGCTGAAAAATAGGCATACATCAGATATGTGATCCAGAGAATTGTCATGTCTGCGTCTACATCTGATATAGAGTTATTTTTTGGCACACCTTCAATTTATACACCACCAACACCCATGAAAAAAGAGAATTATTATATGTCTCAATGAAAGATGCAACTAAAGTTTACAATTTAGAAGAAGAATTTCAAAACCACCAGTTGCAAGAACGACCACTAAGACTGCATCCTCGATATGCACCGGGTTCATGGGTCATTGCACATCGGCAGAGAAGATAATTGTATTATGAAAACATTATGTTATGATAATATTTCCTTTGTAAAATAATTTGTTCTTAATTTATTTTATTTTTAGTTTATTCCTTAATTCATGTCTATTTTTTAATCAATTTTAAGTTATCAAAAAAAATAATTAATATAATATACTTTATAATTTATTTTTAATAATAATATTATATATAATTTGATCAATAATAATATATAATCATATATTATAAATATTTCGAATAATATTAAATAGGAAATGCCTACAAGGGGGCCTTTTCTTCTAAATTGAGGAAAAAGCATGAAATGCCCCCCATGGAGAAATTTGTGCTCTTATCTGAACTTTTTTTAAATGGTGCTCCTCCCCATAAAAGGCCTAATTTAAGTGCTCCTTCTCAAAATTTCCCCAATCGATATTTACCTTTAGCTACTGTATGAGGATTAGATGATGAAGAAAAAGCCATTCCTCACAACTCTCTACCTATTCTTTTTAACTCTTCAAGTTGCTTGCCTTCTCTATTTGAATCGCACGATGACCCCTCCTTAACAGCTCTTAAATGTTTCCTATATGATTTATTTTTGCATGTATGCCCTTTCTTCGCGTGGGGTATTAGGTAATTTTGTTGCAACAAAATTGTATGCCATGGGGTGACTTGCTATGAATGAGTCTTAGCATTTCGATCAAGTGCTTTTTCATAAACACAAATGAAACTTGCAAAACAAATGGGGCAAAGCATGGCTCGAGGCCACGACAATGTTCGAACTCCACACTAAATGATCTCTATGTCTTTCAAACTATACTTACCTAGAGATGAGTTTGTTATTACTGATAATGATGTTATAATTGTTGAGGACAGGTAGGGCCTTAAGAGTTTAAGGCAATTGTGTTATTCTTGGGAATGCGGTGAGAGGATAATGCCCCCACTTTATTTTAATTTTTTCTCCTTTTTACATGAGTATTCTTAGGCTTGGGTAATTGGGTTAATGTTCTCAGCTGTTTTAGATCAAGGGCATAATAGAACGACCCTTCACAAAGAACTTATGATGTTGGTGGAAGACCTTTTGATGAGATAAAGTACTAAAATTTGCTATTGATGTTTAGTGTTAGGTATAAATTGTGAAGTGAAAATTTTGGTGGAATTTTAAAATATTCAGAAGAAAATGGTGGTTAAAATACCAATGCTAGTTTTGTTTAGGCTCGTTTGACCTAATTTGAAATGTCTCTTTAAAAAAGTGAATTAAGTTTGAGTACTTGGATATAAATGATTATTGGTGATTAATTTAGGATTTTTAATTATCATCTAGAGTAGATAAGTGGTTTTTATGGGTTTATAATGGTGTTGAGGGTTAGGGAACAATACTAGATTTTAATATGCTCTTACTGGGCAAAGGGTTATGAAGAGGGATTTGGAATGGTTGTTAAGATTTGATTTATTGTTTGTTGATATTATAAGAAGATTAGGATGTTTAGGAAGAAAGTGAATAACATAAGAGCAAGTGTTATGGAGTATTAATGAATTACTTAAAAGAAAAGCAAAGATAAATACATAATCTCACCAAAGAAAAGCAAACACTTGATGACACCAAGTACCAAGCAACAAGAAAGAAAATTCTCACTCAAATATTTCATTAAAAAACTGATCAAAATTATCACATATCAAATCCATTTATAGGAATTATAATGATAAAAATTTAATAAAAGGAGGAGAAATTTTTTAAAGGTGGTAGGTAGTCATTAGTGGAAGAAGGTGCTAACTTCCTTCCTAATTTATTATTTTTTATGACCAATCATAAAAGCCTCTAAGTTTAAAATTTTAAATATTATAGAAACTAAAATTGAAATAAAAATAATAACATATAAATTCAAAAATTTGATCTTTGTAGGGCTCTTGTGATGGGCCTTAAAGGGGCTCTTAATTGGGCGCTTCTTAAGCTTTTGCTTGAGCTCTTGTAAGTGGACCTTTGACTTAATTTAGATGTGCTACATCAATGTCATAAGCTTAATTGAAATCTTATCTATAGATTTGAGATCTAAGAAGTCTTCGAGTAATTGTTAGGCTAGAGTTTCCAAATCAGATGAGTTCAGTCATGTGTCTTCAATGGGCAGCTTATTCCTCCAATAGCCTAGAAAATGATGCTCAGCGACTGGTTCAAGGGGTGCTTCATTGGTAATGATACATTCAAATTCAAGATACGAAGCATTACTTGAAACTATGATGGGTAATCCAAAGATAAGCCAAATTTATCCTATGAGGTACTTCCAAAGTATCCGAAGAATTTATTATTTTCTCTATATCATCATGTCCTGAAACTATGAAGGGTAATCCTAAGATAAAATTCTTGGAGAGATATTCCCAAAGCCTATAAGGTACCAACAATGCAACATATTTACCAAACTTTTGTTTAATGATTTTGGCTTGTTTACAAGTCAAACTTTAGGTTATAATTTTTTAAAATCTCTCTTAAATGAAGTTCAAAAAATCAACTTTCTATTCAATGGATGATATCATTTTGAAAGTGTTCCAGAATGCAACTCAATGATTAAAAATTTTCTAAGTGAAGTTCTAGAAATACAAAGTTATGTTTCCTTATATAAATATCCATCGATAACAGAGAATATTCTTTGAAGAGACAGATTTATCTATATTTTTAATATAAATTAGATTAAAGGTAAGACACATAGGGTACTCATCTTTGATATGATCAAATTCTGAGTTTTTTTAATTCCAGAAAGCTTATTGTTAAAGTCACTCTAGATAAGGCATTAGAAGGTTTATTTCAATTCTAGGTTTATGCTTGAGAACAAAACAATAAGCTCAAAGGAAACCAACCCATTTAGCATGTTTGTGGCTTAACTTTTGTTGAGTATTAATGAATCTGAAGGCAAGTTGATCTGAGTTGAGAATGAACTCCTTATCTAAAAGATAATGTCGTTGGTGTCTCAAATATTGAATGACAACATAAATTTCTTTATCATATGTCGAATATCATTGTTTAGCCACATTCAAATTCTCACTAAAGAATGATATTGGGAGATTTTCTTGACTTAAAGTTCCATCAATTTCAATCCTATAAGCATCACAAGCTACCTCAAAAGCTTTAGAAAAATCAGGTAACCTAAGTATATGGGTAGAGGTTATTAAAACCTTAACTTGACCTAAAGCTTTTTATGTTGTAGGAGTCCAATAAAATTTTTCTAATTTCAAAGTATCAGCTATTGGGGCAACAACTGTACTAAATTCTATGATGAATCTTCTATAAAAAGTAGCTAGGCCAAAAAGTTGTGCACATCAATGAAATTCTTAGGTGAGGGCCAGTCTATGATTGGCTAAACTTTGGAAGTATCAAACTTGATTTCAGTAGAGAAAATAATAAATTCTAAGAAAATCACCCTAATTTGTAAAAGGAAGCACTTATTTAAGTTGATGTACAATTGTTCTTGCTTTAGGGTTTCAAATACATACCTAAGGTGTTTAAAATGTTATGTGTCACTTAGGCTAAAACTTAAGATATCATAAAAAAGATAACCAAAATTTTTTCTATAAAATATTTTAGGATAGTTTTCATCAACCTCATAAATGCACAATGAGCATTTGAAAGTCCAAAGGGCTTGTATACTTTGGAGAAGTATCGACTAATTGTTTCCGAGGAATGCTGAAATCGCTCCATAACTCCTCTATAACTCCTCTAATTGATTCATTCTAATTGATTCATTTTGTGAGAGAATATATAATGTTATAGCCAAAACCTCTCTCGTGGTCATTCTAAAAAAACCTTAGAGGTCGTGGTTACAACATAAGTCATGTAGAAGATCCATAAAAATTGGTGCAGTCATTCGAAAAATGTTGTTGAACCTTATCGGATGTCCAACAAATATCTCACCCACCCATTTGTCCCCAACATATGAGGAAATCATGCGTGGTATCTGTCTAATGCTGGAGCGGTAATATTTCAACAATAATATCGTTATTGATGCAGCTCATGCCATTCTTTTACGATGTTCTCGATGTGGATGCATCCTGAAATTATAAATGCATTATGATGATTAAAGGAAAATAAGTACTTTCTAAATATATTAAAAAAGAGCCCAAATTCATCCAGATCAATTCCACAAATTATGAAATAATCCTTTGCAATTTCAAAAAAAGAACATATTATAAATAAACACCAACAACCAATATCATTTCCACAACGTTCGGGCGGATCTTTACATTGCTTTTAAAACTAAGGGTCCATTTGTTTAACGCGTTGGGTCTGTCAGTCGGATAACGGGTGTAAAGTTTTGTATAGTAATATCCTCGATCGTTCGCAGCTGGGAGAGCCCCGCGTTCCGCATCATATAGGGTGAGCTTATTACCCCTCAGGCCCTCGATCACGTCTCCCGATCCTTAGTTCAAACTTTTGAAATATGAATATAAAACTCTAATTTTTATGAAGTAAATATCATAAACTATAAAAGAACAGATCATATAATTTATATATTAAATTTTTAGATATATACCATCTAAAAATTTATATTTATTTATTTTATATTTAAATTATATAAAAAAATCACTACATGCTTATAATGGATTATGGTTGAAAATGTGATGAGAAGTTGATGCAAAATGTGATAAGAAGTTGATGCAGTGAACTCCAAGCCGCGAATCTTGGAAGAGCAAAGCACATATCTACAATGGTGGTGGTGGATTTGGTAGAGTTCTCGGAGGAAAGCTTCGACCCCAAGCGATGGATCAATGCTGCGCTTGATTCACGGCACCCTCAGGATCCCATCGATCACTTTCTTTCAGATTTGGAGGAGAGCCTCCGTTCGTCTTCGGAGAAGATCGCCGATTCGCTCGAGCGAGAAGGAGTTGATGCTCTACGCCGCGTCCCCTACGCCTGCCGCGAGGCCATCCACCTCCGTGACGATGCTCAGGCCCTCCGATCCGTCGTCTCCTCTATCCTTCTTAAGCTCAAGAAGGTTTTACCCTATCTACTTTTCCCTCATCGTTAGTGGTTGGTGGATTGCATGTTCTGATTCATTATATAGTGAAATCTAGTTAAAGGTTGAAATAAGGACAAACTGAGTTCATCTTTATAATGAATTTAATTTTTTCGTTGCTATGTTTTGTGAAGTCCACTTAGGGCTTATTTGGTTAATTGAAGATGACAAGCAAGTTTTAGAAAAGTGGTGAAATTGGTTATATCCATCATTTGGTTGGATTTAGTTCCTATCCAACATTGATTTCAAACTCAAAGCTCCTCAAACTCTCTCAATCTTAATGATTATCATTTTCTAAAACATGTTTTTTTAGAAGATTTGCATACATAACACACAATTTTTATGTATTTACATATCTAATGCCTAAACTTTGATTTTTAAATGTATAGCACTTTACAAGACAAAGCAACCAAATGTGCACTTTATGATACTGTGGTATGGAAGAAGCTTCTGCGTTGTAGTTGAGTTAACCCAAATCTATTTAGTCTATTTATGTTATTAAGTTTCGGCCAAACAGTTGTGTGTGCTCTATTTATGCTTTTTTAGTAAAACAACCATGGGACTCCAATAAGCTTTGATTTGTATGTGTTTTTTTTAAGTTGAGTAGGGCTGCGAGAACTTGGATCCTTTTGTTCCAAAATTAGGTTATTTTTTTATGTATATAATTTATCATATCTTAAACACTACCATTGTCGGGTCCTAGGCCTCACATGCGAAAATGGAGGGTTGCATTAGATAGTCGACAACCAACGTAAAAAATTTATCAAAAAATTGTGACATGAAGCTTTTAAATCTTTGTGTCAATCTTAAAGCGTCTCTTGGAAGTGATATATTATATGACCTGAATTAAGCGATGAGTGTGTAAGGGTCGTTGCACCGACGCCTGAGTATAGTGTCATATTATAGACAAATGCAAGCAAAGAAGTTAATCCATAAAAATAATATTAGAATATGAAATTGAAATATAGGTACTCACATAGGTAAAATGAAATTAGTATATATTATGATTCATAGAAATATAAATATCTTATGCATCTAAGAAACTAAAGGGTTTGGAAAAAAGTTAAGGAGATTGATAGATTAGGTTTTAAACTTTGGTATTCAGGTAGGAATCATGCTAAAAATGGTGTAGATATAATTATATATAAAATTGAGGAAGATAATGTTGTATTATAGCTCTTAAGTTTTTTTATTGATAATAAGCTTTCTAATATTATTAGTGCTTATCCTCCCTAACTAGGTTTGGATATATGTTCAAAAGAAAAATTTTGGAATGATCTAGAAAATATGTATAAAGGATATATCTTGAAGAAAAAAAAATTATTGAAGGTAATCTAAATTGACATGTTGGTGGATTGGTAGAGGATCTGAAATGTATTCATTGTGGCTATGATTTCGATGTGACTCATGAAAAAAATTGAGTCATATTGAATTTTCTTTTAGCTTATGATTTTGTTGTTCCTAATATTTTATATAAGAATAGATATTAACATATTATCACTTATAATAATGGATTTAATAAAACATAAATTGATTTTTTTTATGAGAAAAATAGGTTGTTGAGATCGTAATGATTTTAAGATCGTTCAAAGTAAAAATTTAAGTACTCAACATTAATTATTGGTTATTTACTTTAAGATGAGGGATTGAAAGTTTAAAAAAATAACTAAAATAACATATAATTAGACGGGGGCAGTTAAAAAACACGAATAAAATTATTTTTATGATTAAATTTGAAGATATTAAGATTTGAGCTATTCATGAAGAAGATAATATTATGCTGAATAAAGTAACAAATATTATTAAGCAAGTTGCAAAAAACATGATTGAAAAATCAAAAGGAAAAAAAATATGAATAAAAATAGTTGGTGGTGGAATAATAATGTGCAAGAAAAGATAAAAAAAATAAGAAATTTTTTTATAAAAAATTTTTTAAAGGGAAAATTTTGGAGAATTGAGAAAAATATAAGGTGATTCGTAGATATTCTAAGAGAATTATTTGTGATGCTAATAATTCTACTTTTAATGATCTTTATAATGGATTAGATACTAAATAAAGTAAAATATTTATATGTATAAACTAGCCAAACATAGAGATGAGAAAAATAATGATTTAGTTAAAGTAAAGTGTATTAAAGATGAAAATCAAAAAGTAATTTTCTTATATGAGAATATTCCACATAGGTGGGTGACATGGTTTACTAACAAATTCAATAAAGATTGTGAAAATACGATCAATTTAATTGATCTTAATATTGTAAATAATAATATGGTTTTTTATTTTCATCTTCGCATCAGTAAAGTATATGTTGATGAGGCTTTAAAAAAATGATGTGTGGGAATCCAATAAGATTTGATGACATTCATGTAGAAGTGTGAAAATGTTTGGAAGATTTGAGAATTGGCTTACTAAAATTTTTAATATTATTTTAAAAATTAAAAAAATGAACGATGAATTGAGAAAAATTCTATTAGTTCCTATTTTTAGGAATAAAGGGGATGCCCAAAAGTGTCTAAATTATAAATGAATTAAGTAAACGTGTCAAATATTAAAATTATGGGGAGAGTAATTGAACATAGGTTATGACATGTTACAAAAATTTCTCAAAATCAGTTTGGATTCATAACGGGCAAGTCTACCATTGAAGCTATGCATTTATTGAGAGGTTTGATGGAATAATATTGAGAGAAAAAGAAGGATCTACATATGATTTTTCTTGATTTAGAAAAAAATTATATAAAACTCCAAGAGAAGTACTTTGGAAAGTTATAGAAAAGAAAGTTGTTGATATTTCATATATTCAAGTCACTAGAGATATGTATACTAGAACTATTACTTGTGTTCGAACACAAGGAGGATTGACCAAGTATTTTCCTATTTTGGTTGGATTACATCAGAGATCGACTTTAAGGCCATATCTTTTTGCATAAAAGTTATGGAGGCTCTTACTGGACATTTAGAAGAGAATGTAACTTGATGTATGCTTTTCGCTAATGATATCCTTCTTATGGATAAGAACTAGAGATAGTTCAGGAAAAACTTGACTTATGGAGGTCAACTTTAGAGTCCAAGGGTTTTGTTTGAGTATATCTAAAACTAAATACATGGAATGTAATTTTACTAATAGTAGATCTAGTGGCTGAGTTTTAATAATGGATAATCTTAAATGGAGTGAACATTTTTGATATCTTGGATCTATTGTTCAAAATGATGATGTAGATGGGGATGTTATTTGTAGACTTCAAGTTTGATGGTTGAAGTGGAGGAAAGCATCCGGCCTATTGTGTGATAGAAAAGTGCCGCTTAGACTTGAAGGAAAATTTTATGAGATGGTAGTGAGAACCGTAATAATTTATGATGCAAAATGTTGGCCTATAAAAGAGAAGTATAAAATTATGTGTTGTTGAGATGAGAATGCTTAGATGGATGAGTGGTTTTACACTAAAGGACAATGCAAACCTAATATATCCATGAAAGGGTTGGAATAACTTCAGTAGTAGGCAAGATTAGAGAGAGTTTCCTTAGATGTTTTGCTCACATTAAACATCGACCATCTGATGACCTTGTTAGGAGAGTAGATGTTTTAGATTTGACTTATGCTAATAAAGCTAGAGGTAGACCTAAAAAAACTTGGGCATGTTTTATAAAAATGATCTTAATTTATTAGAATTAAATGAAAATATGACACTGAATAGGGCACAAGGGAGAAAAAGGATTCATATAGCCAACCCCACTTAATGGGATGAAGGCTTTTTGTTGTAATTCATCATTATTATCAATTTTTTTTTGTGTGGCATCTCATTATTTATTCATACACGCCATATCTTCTCTTTCTAACAATATGAAATTCTGTTGCTTGGTATTGCAGGATTAAATGGGCTGAGTTTCCTTGTTTGTTTCTTTAAATTTTGTTAATTTTTTTTTAATTTATATCCATAGAACAGTACTGGCCTGTTCAGTTGGTTTATTGCTGTTCCACATAGGTTTGTTATTGTGATCTCCCAAAACTCAATGGCTATGCGATAACAAGCTTATATTGGTAGCTGAGTTGCATTTTAATGTCATATGGTTATTAGGGAAACTTTGTAATGAATCTTTTTCTTTTTCTTTTTTATGTTTTTTTTTTTGAGTTTTAGTCAATGTCAGATGGGTTTGTTTTGCAGGCAGACAGTATATCAGCCGAGTCTGTGGCTGCTCTTGCAAAAATTGATATGGTAAAGCAACGTATGGAAGCAACTTATGAAACATTGCAGGTAACTTCTACTTCAATCCGGTAACTTTTTTCACCAACTTCTTAGGTGATGCTTTTATCTCTTTAGTCATGTCTTTTAGCTTTCCAAACTGATTAATTAACATTCTTGAAATCCTGAAAAAAAAAGGATGCTGCAGGCCTGAAGCAGTTGAGTGCAAGTGTTGAAGATGTCTTTGCTAGTGGAGATCTTCCACGGGCTGCAGAAACTTTGGCTAATATGAGACATTGTTTGTCTGCTGTTGGCGAGGTATATCCCATTATCACTCATTTCACATTTTTAAATTTATTATTGATAGTTTATGTATTGAACCACATAATCTTGGATGTTATTATCTTTATGAGATTATTGTTTTTAGGTTGCGGAGTTTGCCAATGTAAGAAAGCAATTGGAAGTCTTGGAAGACCGGCTGGAGGAAATGGTTCAGCCTCGCTTATCAGATGCTTTCACACATCGTAAGGTTAACATCATTATTCCCAACTGTCTTGTGCTTGTGTTTTGCTTCTAAATTTGGATTCCTAATAGTATAAGAGAAAGTTATTTGGGATTTTAAGCATTTAACATTGTGAAAAGGATTGATTAGGTTGAAGCTGTACAAGATTTAAGACAAATTCTTGTTCGAATTGGAAGATACAAGTCATTAGAGCTATATTACACTAAAATGCATGTAAAACCCTTAAAAAAGCTTTGGGAAGACTTTGAACACAGGCAATCTACCAACAAGCCTGGTATTGAGAAGCATGATGAAAGGCGCTTAAGCATTGCAGAGTCTGCAACAAATTCATCCTCTATTTCTTTCAGCAACTGGCTTCCTAGTTTTTATGATGAGCTCTTGCTTTACCTTGAACATGAATGGAAGTGGTATGCTAATACTTTCTTTAAGATTTTCTCATCATTTCTAGTAATAAATGTTATTTGACATAGGAACAAATTTTTGATGGCTTGGCTTGTAGTATCTTTACACGATCAAAACCAGACTGCTTAAATACCAATTTGTTAGCCACATTTGAAGTTACTCTTTAGGAAGGCCGTAAAATAGAAGCTCAAGTTTTTGAAAGCTTCTTTTACATGTGATTCAAAACAAAACAAAAACCAACTGCAGACTCATGTTCAGACTCGAATTTAATTTGAACCCAGATTTGATCAACTTATGGAATTCATATTTTGTTTATTTTAATTTTATTTATATTAGGTAGAAATCACCCTTTTGGATAGTGTTTTGTTAAATTTCAATTAGACGATGGAAAATGTTGTTGTTATTTGTTTATTTATTTATTTGCAATTGAACCAAGTTGTTTTTATTGATTCTTTCTCAAACTTCTGACTTGTAGGTTTCTCTCCCTCATCCTCCCTGTCCCATATCCTCTTTTGATCTTTCTCATTTCTCTGACAAAAATTCTTAAGCTAATATGCACTGATATGGGCACAATGACTTAGGCACCATATGACACCGACATAGGACATGTAAATGCATTTGTCATGGCATTATAGTTTATCTAATTATATATCTTATAGTTTTAAAATAGTATATAATAATAATATAAATTAAATAAATGTGAAATAAGTCAAAATTTATAATATTATAAGGATGAATAAATAATGATATTTAAGGATGAAATTAAATAAATAAAAGATTATCGTACATTTGATAAATCATGATAGTAGGCAAACATAGTAAAAATTTATGAAAAATGTGAAGTACAATTAAAATAATAAATAAATAAATTGTAACAATAACTTCAATAATTTTTTAGAGCATTATTTCTATTTACATAATTTAAATTTAATTATTTAGGACGTGTATCAGACATGAGTGTTCTAAAATTTTTATGTTTTATTTTAAATTAGAATGCAGAAAATATTTTTGACATTTGCTGAATGGATGTGCATGTATGTATGTCAGACATATGTGGAACATTGCATATATATTTATGGTGAAGTGTCAACACATCGTAGTTTTAAGGGCAACTTGTTTCTTGGAATTACGTTTCCAATCGAGAGCCCTTTCCTCCTTCCTTTAAGAGAACAAAAACATGTCTATCTCAAGAGAAAAAAGAAAATATTAAGCTGATATACATTCATAAGATCTCCACCAATTTGATATCAAAACCAAACTTTTAAAGGTACAAGCTAATTCAATTCTAATCCCTATTAACCTTTTCACCCACATAAGCAAATTCAAACCCTTCACAAAACCTTGCACCCAAATCTCATCCCATTTGCACCTAGTCCTCCCCACCCCACAAAAAAAAAAAAAAAAAAAAAAAAAAAACTTATCCATAAAGTCAATGACAAAATGTAGCTTCCCTTTTACAATGTTTTAAAAAATCAAGAACCCTAAAATTTTCATCCCAAAACTTAGTCCAAAATTGTTCGATCCTCAAATCAAGTTGTGAGATTAAGGCCATGCATCAAAATCACAAGGGTCTATGGAGCGAAAACAATGTTGGAGATATTCATGGTGTGGACCTTGCATTTGGAACACTACCTATTTGTGGAGGTTTAATTATGTTTTGTGATAAGGTTTGATTTCTGAAGAACTTACAAATCTTAAATTAATTTACTTAAATTTGCTATGAAATGTAGTCATATATTACTTATATCATTATTTACCTTGATCACTTAGATATTTCTATCTTTTTCCTTCCCCAAAATTTGAAATTGACAATTGCCTTATCTGAAGTAGAAGTTTTTTTAAGAATTCAAAAATATGAAATAAACTTAGTTAGAAACATGTAATTTTATGTCAATTGAAGCTATTGCCTAAATTCTTAAAATTTTGAACAATTTTAGTTCTTATTGGCATAATAACATAAATGAAATTGCATTCTGGAAATTATCATGAAAATGACATAATTTTCTGCATTTGTTTGATCGAATTGTATTGTTTTACTCCTTGTTGCATACTTGTAAAGAATTGAAAGATGAGTTAGATGTCTTGAAACATTAAATTAAATTGCATTCTAAAATTATTGAAGTAATACAACATGTGTTTTTGGAATCTGAAATCATTGTGCTTTCTTAAAAGTTATTTGTCGTCTCTAAATGAAATCGATTATTTGTTGAGAATGAGCACGTAAATAATTATAGAGACAAAACCTCTTAGAGATGCTAACTTTGCAAGACTATCGGTTTATTTCTACGCCTGTCCACAAAATCTGATTTATTGTTGGTATTGTGTTTTCTTAAAAGTTATTTGTGGTCTCTAAATGAAATTGATTATTTGATGAGAATGCTAAATAAACATAGAGATGAAACTTCTTAGAGATGCTAACTTTGCAAGTCGACCAGTATATTTCTATATATCTGTCCACAAAATCTTACTTATTGTTGGTATTTGTATTTATTGATAACATATTAGAATTTTGAGGGATTGTCTAATCACCCAAAATGTTTTCATTGTGCACCTATAGTTGGTCGTCCTCCAGTAGTTCACCAATGACCTACTTGATATTTTTCTTGAAGTTGCTTATCATCCTCAGTTTAAGTTACCTAAAAATAATATTGCACATCATGACTTGGCCATTCTGATCATGGAGCTAATGATCACAATGATTCTTGTAAAAAGATTAAAGTTCATTATTTCTTATTTGATGGCATATGTGAAACATACTCAATCCGAGAATGAAATTACTCTGGTCACCCCCAATAATTATCCACTCAAATGCCCTATAATTAAAACTCCACAGATTCATTCCACCTCACCAATTTTTTGCAACCAACGTGGTGATTATATTCTTGACCAAAACATGAAAACTGTTTTCCCTTATCCATTCAATCTACACTTAAGCATATATAATGCACTCTCCTGAAAATTCTAAACTTACTAAACTTTGATCTTTCACATCTTCTTTATTTAAAAACTCATTTTCCGAAAACCCCCTACAATTCTGGACTTAAGTTGAGCCAGTTGCTATTATAGATCCGATTAATCCTTCAATTATTGTAAGGGTTTGTCCAATGAAATATACTTCTGAAGATAAAAAAAATTTCAAAACCAAATACAAGAATTATTAAACTTTAAACTAATTGAGGCTAGTGATAGTCAACACAGTAGTCCAGCCTTCTTAGTTATAATTCATAACAGATTAGAGGAAAAACAAGATTAGTAATTAATTATAATAAACTTAATGATAATGCTAAATTCGATGGCTACTCCTCAAATAAAGAAGTATTAATCAATCATATTAAAACGACCAAATGGTTTTTTAAATTAGATTGTAAATATGGATTCTGAAAAATAATGATGCATCCAAATAGTAGAGAGTTTATTGCTTTTAGTACACTACAAGAGCATTATCAATGGATTGTTATGCCTTTTGGTTTAAAAAATACCCCACAAATATTTCAGAGACAAATGGATACTATCTTTAGTGAATTATCAAACCTTTATTATTTAAACGTAGATGATATCCTGATATTTAGTCAAACCATCACCGAACACCTAAAGAATATAGCTTCGTTCTCTCAAAAAGCTCAGAAACATAGAATAGCATTAGGTAAAAGGAGAGCCTTCTTCTTAACAAGCACTATTGAATTTCTAGCATCTATCATAGATAAAGGTGCGAATTACAAGAACATATTTTAACAAAAATTGATCATTTTATACAAATAAATAATAAAAAAGATTTGCAAGGCTTTTTAGGATGTATCAATTATGCTGAAGCATTTATTAAAAATCTCTCACAATTAAGAGCTCTGTTACAAAAGAAATTATAAAAAAAATATGGTTTGGATTTGGGATGAAAATGATCAAAAGATTTTACAGCAGGTTAAGGATCTATGTAAAAATCTTCCTAAAGTACATTTACCAATCCCTGGTAATTATTTAAGTATAGAAACTGACAGCTCTGAATTAACATGGGGGAAATTTTAAAAGCCCGGCGTAATAATGCTGAACTTTTATGTAGATATAGTTCAGGTACATACACAAACACTGAACAAAACTATTATATTAATGAAAAAGAATTATTAGTCATAAAGAAAGCTATTAAGAAATTTGAAATATTCTTAAATGAATCATTTTTTTATTAGAACTTACAATAAAACAGATATTTCATTTATTAAAGAAAAAATCATAGATTCATTAGATGAGAAAGCTGGTGCTCTGTTTATACTTTTGATTTAGAATCTATATAAGGAAATAAAAATTTTCTAGCTTATTTTCAAGCACAAGAATTGTGCAGGAAATAAATATAGATGTTGAAAGTATGAAAACTTATGATATATCCAGCGAAGCTGAAGATAACCCTAATCTAGACATAAATAACTACTTAGAAATTGTTGATTTACAAATATGTAAATTAGAATACGAGATCGTCTTTGACAATACCATTCTAAAAGAATTATTTAAAGTAAAAAAATTATCTCCAGAGAAATAAAAGTAGATGAACTACTCTCGATTTCTGAACTAAGAAAAATTAGAAATTTTGTAAATCTCAAAATTACTAGAGAATAACCAAAAGAAAAAGCTTCTTCAGATACTAAATTATAAAATTTTACTGCAAAAGAAGAACCATCTTCCTTAGAAAGTATGCGTACATATGCTAAAATACTACAAGATACATCTACAGAGAAAATCAGAGAAATAACAGAAGAATGACAACAACTATCACTCTATGAGGAATGAATTAACTCTCAGATTTATTTTCATACAGCAGGAAAGTATCAAGTTATTTATATTTATGGAAATATTGATTTAGAACTTGTCTTAGAATTATACAAATGTGGTTTGATCCACATGATATATTTAAAAGATGAAAGTCTTCTAAAAAAATTATCGAAATCAATATTTGAAACAGTGGATACCTTCCACTATGTTGTCAAACATTAGAATTTATACATCAAATTATACCAAACTT